TGCGGTTTTGGAGGGTAAGCTCGGTAGCCCTGCAGCTGCTGCCCATATCCATGCAGAGCCCGCAGCACACAGCACCGTGCAGCAGGACCTGCAAGTGCAGGCCCCGTGCCCACCTGCGCCCCCATCTCCGCTGTGCTCAGCGCTCGGAGCGGGAGCAGCGCACCCACGGGCACATAAAATGTGGGTGTGAAAGGTTTCAGCACTACCAGAGGGGCCTTACCAAAGGCTGCATTGTTATCACCAGGGCTTTGATTAAAGGTAACACTTTAAATTAAGGATCGGTTTATAAATGTTCTATTAATATTTAATGAAAGAACAGTAGAAGCTGCTCCGTTCCTTAATAACTTATAATAGACCCTGTTGTAAAATGCCTCTGTAATAAATCCCTAGCAGATGATTCCCTGACATGCTGGTTAGAGCAGACCATAACCAGGAGATGTTGGGGTATATATTCTCCTTGCCTCCCAGGAGTGTGACTCTCATTACCCTTAATGGGAGCCTTGCAAGCTTTCTAAGGAGGGAAGACACTCAAATGCTAATAGGAGGTATTTAAGGCGCAGAGCATGCAGTAAAGTACCCACGGTTTAATGAAGAGTTGCCGAAGGACGGGCAGGCGGAGCTGCAGCTCCTGGCAAGGGGGACAGCGCAGCCTGAGCCGCAGTGCCCGGGGCTGGGGTCACCGCACGCTGCCCCGGCTGTGCCAAGAGGTATTTTCTGCGGCTGTTTTTCAGTCAGAGTGAAATTCATTCGAAGGCTCTGGCGTGAGGAGGGCGTAAGGAAGGGACGAGTGCCAGAGCCTTGCATCTGCGTCAAACTGCGCCTCCGAAATCCGGCCTGGTGTGCGTGGGCAAGGCAGCCCCCGCTGTGCCACCACCCCGGCTGCTATCGGAGGGGAGCTCGGATCTGGGGAGCTCCCAGGCACGGCGGGAGCAGAGCTGGGGTGCGGTGGAAGGCGCCGTTGTCTGCACAGGGGCTGGGAGCAGCGCACGGGGGTGAGCTCGGGGCTGCCCTGCTCCTGGCACAGAAGCTGCTGCACCCGGGGCTTTCTGCTCTCCCGGATTTGCTTTGTTTTATTGTGGGGATCAAGGGGGGAGATGGATGGGCAATGGGCTAAACGCTGGAAATTCAGGTGTGCGTGAGGTCCTGTTAATCTGAGATGGCTTCGTGTGAGCGGAGCTCGGCTGCTGGAGCCAGGAGGGGCCGCGGGAGCAAAATGCACAAGCCAGGGCGTGCAGAGGCGCAGCTTCCTCAACAACATTAATGCTCTGCATTAAGACATGAGCTGGAACGCGTCCTGTGGGACTGTGGTGAGAATTAATGCCACTCTGGGAATCCAACCTTCTCGATTCCTTGACTTTGTGTGTGTGAATTCTCAAGCCGGTTGTTTCGTTGACTGAGGGGCTGATTTACTGCTCTTGCTTGTGATTCATAAAAGCAGAACCTGCTGACGGTCTGCAGAGCCCTCGGCTGTTTCCAGAGCATCCGACCACAGAGCGGGGACAGGGCTGGGGCTGACTGCTGCGGTCTGGGCTGCAATGGCCTCGGTGGCTGCAGGAGCGCGGCTCTGCCCGCGGGGTCTGTCCTGCGCCTGCGGTGCCGGGGGGACGGTGTCTCGTGGTGGCGCTGGTGGGACCCAGCTCATCCACCCAAGCAAATCCCATCCCATCCCACCCCATCCCATCCCATCCCATCCCGTGCCTGGGTAGGTTTTTAGTGCTCCACGTGGGAATCCTGTCCCGGGTGGCCCAGCTTCTGCCCTCAGCATAAGATTTAATTATCCATAGCAGCAGCACAACTCTCAGAGCCACCATTGTTATTAATGGCCATAAAAAGAACCATAAAAATGTGGCATGTTACATTTCTTGTAATATATGGTAATGAGGAACAATTTGTTTTCCCCTTTTGGTTTTGACCTCCCTCTCCACCTTTCCTTGCAGGTCCACGCACACGTGCTCCCTCACACGCTGCCTCAGCTCCTTCCAGCACAGCTCTCCCTTCCTTGCCGTTACAACCAGCTCTTTTCACGCCGTCCTTCGTAGCGTAGGTGTTGAATGGACCGCTGTGGTTTGCAGACTGGGGTGCAGCGTATGGACCGTGTCCTGGTTCCTCTGCTAGCTCCAGGAACAGCGTCCTCACCAAGATCCTCCCAACTCGCACTTTTCGGATGCTGAGATGGGCACAGAGAGCGTGTGCCTCCCAGTGCCTTTATGTGAGAGAAGTCAGAGCGCATTTAAATTTGGAGGCCAGATTTTCCTGTTGCGTTGTATCCCCCTGCACTCTCTGCAGGATGCTCACCTGTGCAGAGCAAAGCTCCTCTCTGCAGGCTGTGCCTGCCCCTCCTGTCTGCTCCTCCCTGTGCCCTTTCCCATCTCACCAGCGGGGCTGGGCACTCGCTGCTGCCTGTGGTCCCTGCAACCCGAAAACTCTCACAGCAGAGAGGGCACGGCCCGGTGCCCTGGCTCTGGTGGTCTCGTTCGTCCCTTCGCAGGGGTACTGAGTCACAGCAGGAGCACCGTGCGCTTTCCTAAAAGCCCAGCTTGTCAGTTCAGGGGAGTGCATGGGAATCTTGCTTTTTACTGAAAGAGGAGGTTGTTCTTTCAATCTGCCGTTCTGCTACGTGCAGGGAGCAGGCAGAAGGCCCCAGAAGGCTGATTGAAATGCAGTCTGGCATTTACCACTGCTTGAGCCAGCTCCTGAGCTGCAGAGCCTGTCTCCTGGTTTGGAGACGCCACTGGTGAGGGCTGTGGGGCGCTGGTGCCAGGACGAGGAGCGCTGCCTGCCGGGGTGAGCTGTGTGGTTATTTGGGTGCCGTCATGACTCCGTCCTTACCCGTCAGCCTTGCCCTGTTTGGAGACCAACCCCCGCCCTGGTCCTGGGGTGGCAAGGGTGAACTGGGAGCACTGGGAGCGTGCCGCACACTGAACTGGGCTGGTGATCTGGTGGATCCATGTGATGTGGGGGTGGGAGGCAGAACGTGCTTCTGTGCTGCTCTTGGCAGTGCGTTACCAGTGCTCAGTGTCTGAACAGGTACTGCTGTGTGCTGTTCCTGTGCGCTCGGGTCCGTGCCCTGCGCCAGGCACCTTTTCCCAGGGCTGTGCACGGGGCCCAAGGCTCTGAGGGCGGTGGTGGGGGTTGCAGAGAAGCCAGGCTTCTTTAGGGAGCTCCTGTTAGCAGGAGTGAGTGCTCACAGTCCTTTTCAGAGACTGGGGCAGGAACTTAAGTTGGCTTGGGACCAAACTGTATGTTTGGTTGTCTTGAGGAAATTAGGATATATCTACTAGTGTGCAGTGGGAATTAGTAATAAATGATGAAGGATTCAGTTGCTGCCAGCAGAGCGAAGGAAGGGTGAGTGTGCTGGCCCGTCTGTCGCTGCTGCGGTGCCTCTCCAGGGCACGGCCAATGCCCAGGGCTCCGCTCTGTGCGGTGCTGCCCAGGAGCTGTGGGGACGCCGGTTTGGAAAGGACTCGGCTGCTGGGCTCTGCAGTTTGTGGCAGGGAACACGTTGGTCCTGCTGCCCTGGGCTGGGAGGTGCCTGGTCCACAGGGGTCTCCAGGGGTGGGGACATCTGAGCTGAAGCACCCGAGAGCAGAGCAAAGCCCATAAGGATGGGGTTCCTGGAAGGGAGTTACCTGCTCTGTGCTTTGTCCTGCTTTGTTTTTATCACCCAGAGCGCATCAGCTGTTTGAGCAGATCTGGTGGTATTTATGTGATGCTGTAGGTATCCCCTTGCCTGGTAATTATACTGATTAATCTGGATCATGCGGGAAAGCCACATGTGCCTTGTACCAGAGGGTATGCCACCGCGCGTCTGTATTATTCAACTCTAACAGATGCTGACAAGAACTAGGGGAGCTGAGTCGGAGCTGGAGGTTGCTCTTGCTCTGTGAGCAGTGTCTGGGAAGGACGGAGTTTGGCAGATTTCCTGGCTGGAAAGGGTGAATCTGGGGAGATGATAGCGAGGACTTTCCATGCTGCAGACAGCGGCAGAGGCCCCTGCTCTTCTGCCTCTGTGCCCTGGTCAGATCTGGTGGTCTGCCGCCTCTGTTCCCTGGGGCCAGGTCTGGGGACCAGAGGCTCTTCTGGCTGCAGGAGATGGGACCATGTGAGTTTGCAGCTGGTGGGTGTTTATGGCAGCCCTCGGTGCCATGTTCGAGGAGTTGGCGTGGGGTACATCTGGAGACCCTGTCTGGATTTGTTGTGTTTGGATTTGTCAAGACCTCAGCGAATGGCAGGTGGTACCGCAGCACGTGGCAGGTGGTACCGCAGTGAATGGCAGGTGGTACCGCAGCCCGAAGGACAGGGCCAGGGCCTGGGGCAGGGCCCTGCTGGGCCTGCGCAGCCTGGGGGCACAGCTGCCTCGGGGGCTGCCCTCTGGGGCCCTGGGGTGGGGCCTTCATCTGCGCCAGACCCCGCTTCTCCAGGATGGCCTGGACGAACCGGGGGTGGCTTCTGCTCGTGGGCTGCACCCTCGTCAAATACCGGGGTTTTGTCTGCCGTGGCCACCAGAAGAACCGGGGGCGGCTGCAGCCGGTGTCTGCCCTGCGCTGCTGTGCCAAATGGGCCGGGCCTGCTCCCCGCTGGCGCGGGTGACCTTGGAGGTGTTCTGGGAAGCGCCTGAGCACTTTCTCCCATCTCACATGGCGTATTACGAGCTGTATCATTATGAGCAGCTCAGTTAAGTCATTACAGCTTTGGTGAATGCATAAGCTTTTCCCCTCTCATCCCAATTCATCACTATTGTGCTGACATGAATCATTTTCATTATAAAATGCTTCAGTCCCCGTTAATTAACAGAATTGCTTAAATTTCAATGAGATAGTGCGTGCCCAGAAATAGCGGTTTGGGGTTGGTGGTGGAGGCAGCAGTGGCCGACGAGCGCCACCGGCCGAGACCAGCCTCACGCAGGAGAACGGTGCTGGAGCAGGGCCAGGCTGCCGGCCCTCGGCGGGGGCTGCGGATCACAATGGGATGCATGTGGGGTGTGGGGTGCTCCCCTGCCCCTTTGGGTGAGCTGGGGTGGGACCCCTGGCCTGGCTTCCTCTGGATGGAGCCGGGGTTGACCAGGGAGCAGGTTCTGAGCAAGCACCCAGGGCAGGGGGGCTCCACAGCAGAAACCACTCCATGTTGGGGTGCTCCATAGCAGAAACCGCTCCATGTTGGGGTGCTCCACAGCAGAAACCGCTCCATGTTGGGGTGCTCCATAGCAGAAACCGCTCCATGTTGGGGTGCTCCACAGCAGAAACCACTCCATGTTGGGGTGCTCCATAGCAGAAACCGCTCCGTGCTGCATCCCACCCGTGTGCTGACTGGGAGCAGGGACCTGGTGATGGAGCAGCAGAAGGGCTGGGAGCTGCCATGGAGTGTGAACAGCAGATGCTGGAAGAGCTCGGGAGATGGGGGGTGAGGCAGAGCCTGCTCCCGAATCACGGGGCTGGAGGCAGAGGGAGTCCAGTAATTACAGAGCCAGAGCGACGAGGGAAGCTGGGGGAAATCGTGCCTGTCGGTGAGAGCTGGGGAGCTGCAAGGCTCTGAAACGGAGGTTATGTCTCTTACTGTAGATCCTGACAATGATAGTTGTTGGGATAATTGCTGGGTTCAGAAAGCAAGGCGAGATAAATGTCTGCGGAGCAGCCTCGCCAGCTCCTGCTGCACCTGAAATGTCGTTCAGAGGTGGGGGGTTCATCTCCCGGCTCAGTGGCATTTCTGGCTGCCTTTGGGCCATGGCACCGCTGGCTCCTCGGTGCGAGGCGTCCCCCGCAGCCGCTGCAGGAGGTGCACAGGGTCGCTGCTCTGCCGTTGCTCTCCTTGCTGCACCTCGGCAAGTGCCACACACAACTGCTGGGTCGTGCTGTTGGCCGCTGTGCCCCCCGGGGGGGACCCCCACTGCAGACCCCACCGCGCAGCCCGGCAGCCCCCCCAGCACCAGGCGGGATTACAGGGAAACAAAGCAGAGATGGGGGTTGCAGTTCACAGTGGGAGGAGGCAAAGCTGATAGTTAAACAGAAAGCCTGGAAGAGAGAGCAATTACAAAAGAGGAATCCGTGCTAAATCTGTGGGAACGTTAAGGAGCTGAGCTGGAGGGCATTTCAAGCTGATTCCTGGCTGTTCTGGGGTGTTGCTGGTACAGCGTGACTGGGAATGTGCCGCTAATGGTCTTGTCTCCATGTAGGCACTCATGCGTGCCCCTGGTGCCACCTCAGGGCAGAGTCATTTCTTTCTTTCTGTCTCAAAATACTTCTCCTCTGCTTTGTTTCCATGTAAATGAAACACTCCTGGGTGACATAGGAAGTCCTAACTTCTGCCATTTACAGTGCTTTCTGGGTTTTACTACTCTTTGTGTATTATTTTACATTCCTTTATATTTTAGTTCTGGTCATTTCCCCCAAGCCCAGATGACTACTGAAGACCTATAAACACTTTGTTTTTTAAGAGACTTCATTTCACAAAAAGTACTAACATGCCCTACATTTTGTTAAGCTTTGCTGTCTCTGGTGCATCCTCAGCCCCTGGCAGAGCCCCTGTGTCATCTCTGCTCTGCTGAACTTAGAGGAACACTTGAAAACGAGGGGTTTTGTGCAGACTTGTGGAAAATACACTGTGCCCCCATTTTCCAGATCAGACATGGGGCTCTGCAGGGATCTGTGCTTGGGCCATGAGGAACCTGTGAAACGGGGTGGGCACAGTGGGCTGGGAGCACAGTGCTCTTCTAGGGATGCTGTGGTGTGGTCCTGGGGACACCGTGATGTGGCCCTGGGGATGCTGCAGTGTCTTCTCCTAGGGATGCTGTGATGTGGTCCTAGGGATGCTGTGATGTGGTCCTGGGGATGCTGTGATGTGGTCCTGGGGACACCGTGGTGTCATCCTCAGGATGCTGCACTGTTTTCTCCTAGGGATGCTGCGAGCCTGGCTGCTGCCTGCACAGATAGGGATGAGTGGGCTGCTGCGGATTTGTGCCAAAGGGGCTTTGTGACTCAGCCTGGGCTCTCGCTCAGCCTTTCCCTGCACACCTCGAGGCTGGCCCCCGCACAGCCCCCGCATCTGTGCGAGTGCTCTGCTCCTGTGCCTCTGGCCTGCGCTGATCCTCCACGGATCCTCCGCGGCTCCCAGCCCCCGAGCCGAGGTTAACCCCGGCAGAGGTCCCCACTGCCGCTGTGAGGGGGATGGTGCAGTGGCCAGGAACCTCTCCTGGCTGCGAGGACTTGCTGGGATCGGGCTGGGGCCGTTCCTGGGCTCTGGGGATTTCTGGGATGTTTCTGCCTGGCCAATGACCCCCGGGCTTGTTCTCCTCTCCAGAGCCCTGCTCTGCCCTCAGCCGGCTTTTGCTTGTGTGGAGGCTGCCAAAGGGTTTGTTCCCCTTACTCTGAGGCCCGGCAAACGTTTGTGGTTGCCAGCGCGGTGCTCCTGTGGCCATGCAGCACCCGGGGCTGCACTGGGAAGGGCATGGCC